TATTGTATCTGAACGTACTGATTGTTTTGTTGGTTTTTCTCCTTTCACCATGAGTAGTGACAGAGAACATCACCGCCCTGTGTTCAGAAGACAAACAGATTGAAGGATCCACTTTCCAGTCTGTAATCCGGTCATATATAGAACTAGAAGCAAGTGTAAGATCAATATAAGAGCTGCGCACTCGCCCATAAGATACTGTCTCGAAAGTAGGAGTATGACCTCTATTACACAAAAACATGTCATTGCCATAAACGATGTCAACAACTTCATTTCCCCGCGAGTTTGCCCGGTCGCTACCCCAGATAGGGTGCCAACCGTTAAAATCGCCTCCAACAAGCTGATGGCAGTTACTGGTCATTTTCAAAAAGTTGTCTAACCGTTGCAATGTATTGTGATCGTCACTATTAGGTTCGATATAAACAGATGCTATGTATAGTTTACAGCCCCCAATATTTAATTGAACCGCGCTAAGATTCGCTGACGAAAATTGGGATAGACCCAGTACGGAACCACAACTAGATTTTGTCATTATGCACGCCTTAACCCTGTTACCATTGGAAAACTGGAATATGTTGATACCAGGGATGGATTTAACAATGTTGCCAGATCCAACATAGGGTTCTGACACCAAAGCTATCTGGAATTGGCCGGCCATAAAAGAGAGAATAAATTCATGTTGACTGTTCTTTGACTTATCTAAGTTACACTGTAATACTTCGAGTTTATTGACTTGATCCATAATCTATACGGTTTATGATTCTTTCTTTTATGGCTCGCAGTCTGGGGCAATAAGTGGAAGTAGCCTTATGTTTTGTATCAATTTTTGTGTTGAACTTGGTATTATGTGCGACACAGTTAATACACTGAGCGCAGTCCGGGTTCTCTTTTTTAGGACAATCATCAGATTTGTGTGTGGTTGCGGCACAGTGACCACATGCAGTGTTTTCCGAGGTGCATTTATTCTTTGTGTGTCCAAACTGGTAACAATTATGACATTGCATAAATGGTGAAAATTCCTCAACGTGTATACGCTGATGATCGATGGATAATTTACTCATGCTAATGATTTTTCTCCAAACTGTGGGTTGAGATCGAAAGACTGCATTGTATAGGTTTGGGTTCCTGTTAGTGCGTTTAAAGCAAAATTTTAAATCATCCTGTGCCGCAATGGTATCAGACAGTTCAGAATTTTGCATTTTAATAATGTCAACTAATTCTTCAGCTGGTGTGTCAATAGAAATTCCTTTCAGAATTATCATAGGCCTAAGTTTTCGTGCGGGTTCAGCTGTCACTACCTCAGAATTCAATAAACGTGTAAGAGTTTCGTCACGCTGCTGTTCGTTATCAAACTCGACCCTTAATTTATTGTGTGACACAGTTTGAACGCGAGCCGGTGCATATCTGGTAGTACGAAAGCTGATACTTTTGCGCCAAACGTCAATCACTTCCTGCTTATTTTTTACGTCTGTTTTGGGGGTGATGATTATCGCTGGTTTGGTTGCAGGTAGAGTAGCACTGTGGTTGTTTATCTTTGGTGATTGAATCGCATTTGATGAAGCAACTTGGGCGTAAGATGGTCGCCCCATACTAGTGCTGCTAACTGAGTTCTTGAAATTAGCCATTTCTTCACGAACACAACTGATAATATCATTTTTGAGTTCCTCTGCGGGACTAGTCAGCGTGGATGTAATATTAGTAAGAACCAAGTTTGCTCTCCTTATTTCTTCGGATGCAACTGTGATAAGACGCTTATTGGCTGTCGTGACACTCCTACCGTCATTGACAGCGTTCACAATGCATGCTACCAATTTATTAACAACTTCCGTATACTTAGAAACATTAGTGATTTCTTCTGCTGTTGCGGGCAAAATCGGCAAATCACCATTACCAGGCGCCATTATAATTGTATTTTACGTTATATACAGTACAAGATATAAAATTAAGACGCTATGAGAAAGATTAAGCAGAAATATTGACAAAATATAAATTAAAAATTGCAAAATTAACCTAAGTAATGAAAACAGGGAGGGTGGGAGGGCGATTTTTTTCCAATTTCCCTGTGTTTTATTAAGAAAATTTTAGTGCAGATGGCGGTATCTACACGGGACGGACCTAACAGGAGCAAAAAGAGCGTATAAAAGGAAGATTTGAAAAATTTTTAAAATTTTATAAATTTACGACTATACGAAATCGAAAAATATGAAAATTAATAATTGAACTGTGAAAATTTACAAATAAAACTATATGATAATATGAGGGATAATTAGTTACACTATTTAAGTAGAAAATTTGAACGAAAAAGCCCAATTTTAAGCAAATTTATAGACGAATTTATGTTTTTCTTTATGAATTTACTACTATAAAATGATAAAAACAAGAAAATTAATTATATGACGATAACAATATACTAATAAAACTATAGGAGTAGACGGGGAGCAATTAGTTATACTATTTACAAAAGATTTGAATGAAAAAGGTCAATTTTTAGCAAAGTTATAATCAAAGTTCTATTTCGGTTAGGTTAGGTTAGGTTAGGTTAGGTTAGGTTAGGTTAGGTTAGGTTAGGTTAGGTTCCCCCCCGAACGGGTTCCCGCCTTGTCGTGGCGGGGGGGCTTAGTAGCCGTGGCTTGGTCACCCACGGTGAACAAAGAGGAACCCCTTGGCTGGCCCGTGGTGTAGGGCCGGCCCGAGGTGGCCACTCCGAGTGGGCTTGGGAAGCCCACTTCGGATGTGTGTCGGGGGGCTGCGGTGAGAGGGGAGTCCGCACCCTCTACCGCTGCAGCCGAGGTGGAGTCGCGGAGGAAGAGGAGTGTTGGTATGGCGATGCGCCACTCGCCCTATCCTCCGCGACTCAAACGGGGCCGCACCGTTGATGCGGTGGTGGTGGGGCCGCGGGGGGAGAGGAGTGTCGGTATTGCGAGGCGCCGCTCTCCCTACCCTCCGCGGCCGAAACTTGGTTGGCGGCGGAGCCCGAGACCAGATCCGCCGCTGGGGCCGGGAAGGCTGGTGCTTCTGAGTGCTAGTTTTTCCTGGCCCCATGGCCTTCGCGCATCGGACACGGGGGCGTCCGTTGCGCATTAGAAATTGGAGGCCGAGGAGGAGGGCGCACCATGTGTTCTGGTGCGCCTTACCTGAGAAGGAGATGGGGGAGGAGTGTTTCTCTCCCAAGGAGGGGCCGCCATGGGGCGGCCAGCGCAGGTGGGGCCGCGGAAGTGTGCGAAAGCGTTCCCGTGGCCCTGCCAATATGCGACGAGGGTGGAACACCATGGGGTTTTAGTCGGTGCGAGTCCGACATAACCCGTCCTTGCCCCCGCGAGGCGGGTATGCGTAGGCATTTCCCCATGTAAAAAAAAAAAAAAAAAAAAAAAAAAGGTTAGGTTAGGTTAGGTTAGGTTAGGTTAGGTTAGGTTAGGTTAGGTTAGGTTAGGTTAGGTTAGGTTAGGTTAGGTTAGGTTAGGTTAGGTTAGGTTAGGTTAGGTTAGGTTAGGTTAGGTTTTTTTTTTTTTTTTTTTTTTTTTTTTTTTTTTTTTTTTTTTTTTTTTTTTTTTTTTTTTTTTTTTTTTTTTTCCAATAAAAAAGAATTTGGATAATTCTTCAATAATGCAATATGCTTATGGGATACAATTTGCATTATTTAGACTGCTTTTGTTTATTTCAGTTGTTTTTTAAAGTAGTTTGTTTTAGTATTTTATTCTTTATTTTATATTATTCTTATAATACGATTGTGTAGGTATATTTAACTGTTAAACTTTTTTAATGATTTAACGATGGTTTTTATATGTTTCTCGAATGTTGTTATTGACGATTCTTTTTGAACTACTTCGCTTAATATAAATGGATCTATTCTGAGATTTTGGCAGTTAATTTCATGGTCTATTCTACTTAAACTAAATTTAGGACATACCTTTATTAAGTGGATAATAGTTTGGGGCGTTATGTCGTCACATGGACAGGTTAGGTTAGGTTAGGTTAGGTTAGGTTAGGTTAGGTTAGGTTAGGTTAGGTTAGGTTAGGTTAGGTTAGGTTAGGTTAGGTTAGGTTAGGTTAGGTTAGGTTTTTTTTTTTTTTTTTTTTTTTTTTTTATACTTTTGTTACTACTACTTTTCTGCAGTACCCTTTTTTCTGTGATATTTTCGCTGTATAATTTAATATCTCTTTTTTTTTATTTTTTTTTTGTTTTTTGTATATATATTTTTTTTATTTTTTTTTTTTTTGTTTTTTTTTATTTTTTTTTATTTTTTTATTTTTTTTTTTTTAATTCCGTACTGCCGGTCTTTGTTTTTTTTTTTTTTTTTTATTTTTTTTTTATATATATATATACGTGCGGCACATGTGCATGTACAATTACAATATCTTTATAACTACTTCATGTTAGTGAGGTCTTACTCTAACAATGGCTACTTATTTCATTTTCTACTTTATTATTTATTACTAACTGTATAATCTAATATATTATTCTATTTCTTTCTACTTATTTCTATATGACTAATATAATGCTATGTTGGTTACAATTTTGTTGCTTTTTATTACTACTTATTAAATTACGTAGTATATTTGTTTTCTAAGCTAAATATTTATATGTTTATATATTATTCGGTACTTGTTAGTTTTATATTACTATAGTGCTGTTATTTACAGGTTTCTTTCTTATCGAACTATTTATTACATTGCGTTTTCTATTCATATATATACATACATACATATACACATATATATACATATACACATATATACATATACATACACATATACACATACATACACACACATACACACACATATACACATACACACCCACATGTACATATGCATATACATATATATACACATATACACACATACACACACACATACACATATACATATATATATTCTTGGATTTTTTTCTATTTATAAGTATATAGTTACATTTATTTAGTTTAATCAGCCTGTTTTTTTTTTTCTCTTTTTTCTTATACATTCGTAAAATTGTATGTTTTTATCTATAAGTTATTAAATAATTAATCTATAATTTTACTACCATTTTCTTTACTTATGCTTTTTAATGCCAAAAGGGCAAACTTCATAAAGATAGGTCGGCAATAGTCATCTTCTATAATAAATTTTAAGTTTTCTGCTACTATCTCCACACCCATGCTGCACTCGGTCTCGAATCTTCTTTTCCCAAAACGTGGGCAATCAATGACAATGTGCTCTATAGTTTGGTCTGTATTTTCATCGCATATGCAGCATGGGGATGAGGATAATTTATACTTATACAAATAGGCTTTGTTTCCCCCATGACCGGTAAACAAGTGTGTAACTAAGTTATTCATTTTTATACTTTTTAATATCTTATAGGCTTTAACAATATTTGGAAAGAACTTTTTCGTTATACTACTGGTTGTTGCTTGTTCGTACTTCCTTTGCCATATTTGCAGAGTCGTATTTCTGGTGAGGCGCTTTGCATACGACAATGGGAATTTATCATAAGCCGGGCTTTGCTTATTTTTTATAGCTGCCTGCTTAGCAAGTTCATCTGCTCTTTCGTTGCCTTGTATTCCGCAGTGTGCTTTAATCCAATAAAGCTCGACTTGCTTCCGGTTGTCTTCTAAAGTCTTGATCATTGTTCGTATTTCTGATGCTATTGGATTAAGAGACACTGGGTCACAGATAGTGGTAATTGCCGATCTAGAATCGCTAATTATATTTGCACCTGGATATTTTTTGCTTATTATATATTTTAGCGCTCTTTGTATTGCCATCATCTCCGCTTGGTAAATACTGCAGTAGCTCTCCAGTCTGAAAGTTATTGTTTTAATTTCGAGTCCATTGTGCCAAACTGTTACTGCTGCTCCCACTTTTCCGTCGATCTTGCTTCCATCGGTGAAGATTCTAACCCAGTCGTTTTTTATCTCGTCAATATCTTTCTGGTTATTTACGTGTTTGAAGTTACGTTGTATTCTTTCACAAGGATGTGGGAGATCATAGGGGCTTATTCTTGTTTCGATTTCTCTTCCTGGTAAAAGCTCTATAGGTTTGCCTCTCTTAATTTCATATATACTAGCGTTCTCTTTGGCTCTTAGTGCTAGCGGTATTATTTTTGATAAGAGTGTACTGGAGATCAGGGAGTTAGTCTTATGTCCTTTACTAATTCGTATACCAAAAATCTGGGTCATTCTGTTGAGTATGCGTTCAATATACTTTTTGTCTGTTGTTTCGGCCCAGCAGCTGGCAGCATACAATATGGTTGGTTCTACGACTGCCATGTAGATTGTTCTCAATATATCTGAGTTCAGGCCCCAGTTAGCCCTCGCTGCTCTTGAGACCATTTTGTAAATATTAATAGCCTTGCGACAAACATTATCCAGATGGGGCTTAAAATTTATATTTTGGTCTATTGTTAAGCCCAGAACTTTCAGTTGATCCAAGTATTGTAATTCTACTTCTTCCATTTTTAGCAAAGGCCGATGAAATTTTTGTTTCCTTGTTATTAGCACCGACTGAGTTTTATGGGGAGCAAATCTTAATTTATGTTTTTTGCCCCATTCTGTTATTATTTTAAGAGTGTGGTTTAAGGTTATCTCTAGTTTTTGTCCGTCTTGGTTACTGGCGATAATCAAGATATCGTCTGCAAAGGCTTGTACATGGGCTTGTGTGTTCTCCGTTGTTTGCAATAATGGATCGAGTAGAGTATTCCAGAACATGGGTCCACATGTAGAGCCTTGGATGCAACCTCTATTTGTCGGTTTCTTAATTTCTTGTCCAGCGTACTTGAGGTGTATTTCTCTTTCCGACAAGTAGCTAATTATGAGCCTTAACATAGACGCGTCAACATTTTTGGAGTGAAGCTCATTGATAATGGCTGGCCACCAGGCATTGTCAAACGCGCCTTCTATATCCAACGACACCAGTACAACAATGGATTTCTCTTTTAGTCCTTTTTTTATTAGCGCCATAGTGTCATATAGGGCATCTTCGGTACTTTTTTGGGGTGTGAAGCCGTACTGTCTGTGGTTCATTTTATTCTCTTTTCCTAACTGCCATTGGACCCGGTTGATAAATAATTTTTCTAGTATTTTACCCAACACAGGTAATAGGCCAATTGGTCTGTATGCCTTCGGTTGAGTGTAGTCCTCTTTATTTGGTTTGGGAATAATCTTTATAGTAGCATTTTTCCATAATTTTGGAAAATGACCTATTATTAGGCATTTATTATAAATAGATTGGAGTACTTCAGGGTTGCTCTCAAACGCAGCTTGGCAAATGTCCGATGTTAGTCCATCTGCTCCAGGAGCTTTCTTTGGGTTTATGTTCCTAAGAATTTGTTCAATTTCATTTTGAGTGAATAAATTTGGGGTAGGGATATGTTCGTTATTGATTTTATTTATAATATTTTGCGTGTTATTTCTCATCTCGGCCTGCTCTTCATTGTCCATGTCCGGGTTGTCCTCTGGATAAAACGTATTAGCAAGGTATTCAGCTGATTCTATCTCTGAAAGAATTCGGCCACTGGAGTTCCGAAGCAGTTTGTCCTCTTCTCTATTTGAGCATATTTTTAAGATTCGGTATGTTCTTTGCCACATAGATTCCTTTTCCTCTTTATTGCAAAGATTCACCCAGCTTATAGTTGTGGCGTTTTCAATAGCGTTTATATAGTCGCGTCTCGCTTCCAAATATAGTTCTACTACATGTTTTCTTCTCCCAGGGTGTGCGTTTTTTATCCTTCGTCTTTTCCTGATCATGATTACCTTTTTTTCTTGTATTTCGTTGTTCCACCAAGGAGCTATTTTTGTTTTCCGTTCCTGTTTAATAAGAGGTATGCTGTTATTGCAAGCTGCCAGTATACATTGTGTGTATTTGTTAATAATATCTTCTAGCTCTTGATGTGATTTGATTTCTTCAATTTTATTTTTTACAATATTTTGTTTTTGCAGTTCGGCTTTTAAATCGTTCTTTAGTTTTTCCCAATTCGCTTTTTTAGTATTATATATTTTTGTGCCCCTAGTGATAATTTCAGTTTTAATGTTTCCTGTATGTAAGTTAAATAATATTGCTTTATGGTTTGAGATTGTGCAGAGCTGGTCATCTACTCTCCAGTCTTTTATTCGGTGTAGTAATGATGACGAGCAGGCTGTGACATCAATTATGCTAGTGCATAATTTTCCTAATCTATGAGCAACGAAAGTTGGTTTTGTACCCAAATTTAAGATGTCTAAGTTTAGCTCAGCTAACGTTTCCATGATAGTTTTTCCTCTGTTGTTGTCGGCATTGCAACCCCACCAGATGCTACGTGCGTTGGAATCCCCTCCAATAATGATGTCATCGGTGTTCATATTTGCTACGTAGTTTTTAATTGTTTGTAGATCTTCTTCAAGGTCTGCATTTTCGTGGAGATACATACTAATTAAGCCTATATTAGAATAATTAATCTTAAGTTCAACACCAACTATGTCTTCAGAAAGAAGATTAGGATTTACAGTGAATTGAATTTTTGGATCACAGATAACAATTGCCGACCTAACTGGTTTATTTCTGTCATTTGTTACCTTTTGAATAATGCGGTATTGGGAACCCGCTGATAGATGAGCTTTAACACCAACATATGGTTCTTGCATTAAAATAATTGCATAACCCTGCATCGCAGCTGCACGTAGGCACTCAAGTGTCGCCGCGCGTCCGCGATCCAGGTTGACTTGCATTACTTTTATGATTTTCTTTGAGTCAGAGGGACTCTTATTCTTTAAGTTTGCGCTGTCGTTGTCTGTCTCTTAGCAGTATGAAACAGACGATCTTGCAATACTGTCCCATTTCTGCCATTCTTGGCATTCTGGACTGTATGCTGGGTGCAAAATATCATTTCGTTTTGCTTTTATGCAATTGCAACATTTGGGAACACTGTTTCGGTTTTGGCATTCTCTTGTGTCATGCCCCTCAGCACAGTATCCACAACAAAGACTATTGCGACAATCTTTAGCTTTGTGGTTAAAGCTCAGACACTTGTAACATTGTGTCAATGGTGATTGGTCAACACATGAGACAACTTGATAGCCTATTCGCAACTTTTGGTTTTTCAAGTTGTTCCATATTTGAGGTGAAACCTCAAGTATGACATTAATCACTTCTCTAGTTCTTCCCTTAGCCCTACGTATGACCTTAACGGCTTTTTGGTCCTCTGTTAATCCTTCTATTAAGCTACGATTTTGACTTGTAATTGCTTTGGCAAGTTTCACATCATCAAGGTCATTTATGACACCTACCAGTCGCAATTGGGGATTTTTGGTTGCTGGCGTCGATACTGTTAATCTGTCACAGGTATCTCGGATGGCTGTTTTTAAAAGATGTCTGTCCTGTTGGGAATCACAGTTGATCACCACTCGCTGATTTTTTAGTTTGGCTATTTTGTTTACTCGTATTCCCAGTTCCACAGGATCAACATCCTTTTTTACTTGTTTTAAAATGTCTTCACATGTCGAGCGTGGATCAATGGATTCAACAATCATAGCATAACGAGGAGTACTAGTAACTTCTGCATAGGATTTTGTATTACTTTGGGTAGGTCTCCTCGCTGGCTCAGTCTGAATTGTTTGATTGTTTGCTTCTACTGTAGGAATATTGAACTTGTGGATATTTTGTAATTCATTAATCTTATCTTTAATTTCTGTAATCGCGAGTTCAGTTCCAAGTCCAGTATTCCCTTGGAATGCCATTTGTGTTGTATTACAGTCCTTTAGATCGCTTATTTCATTTAATACATTTTTTATCAAACTCGTGACAGGTTGGATTATGTTTTCTATATCTTCTTTTTGTGTCTCTTCCTTAGGTGTATTTGTGGATTTATAAGTTTGTATAATTTCTTTAGTCTCTTGGATATGTGCAATTATCTGTTCCAATCTTGGATCTGTCTGTGAAATGATATGCTCTGGGGTCGGTATTTTGATCTCCATGTCTGTATTTCTATTTGTTATTTTCTCTACCTCTTGACTAAGGCTAGTAATATTCCGATTTAATTCTGCTATTTTCGATAGGAGTAATGTGAAATTTTCTGTGCATTTTTCAGAGTGGGCAGAAGGTTTTTCACTTATTGTTGTTGACTGCGTTTTGGTAATCAATCCGTGAACCTCCAATTGAATTTTACTTATCGCCTTTATTGGTTCGTCCATCTCGTAGCACAGCCAAGTTCGTATCGCCTCAACGCCCTTACCTGTGCTTTTAATAGCCTCATAGGCCTCCACGACTTTACTAAATTGTAAATTTTGGATTTCAGTCAATTGTTTGTTATGGGCCCGTTCGATTCGTACTAGCTCCTTAGCCGCCCGAGATCTTTCTTGTTCCACCGCAAGCCGGTGTCTAGAGCGTGAGTCAGACAGCGACAGCACAGTCTCATACAAGCCTTGAAGACAGTCATGTACCTCGCTCTTACACTCCTTCTTCATATTTCCTGCTTTCTCTAGAGCTTCTTTACCGGAGAGCAGGAATTCATTCGCTCTTTGAGTTGCCAAGTCCATTGAGATGCCTGCTCTCCTGTATGCTGGTGGCAGTATGCTTGATCTTTTGCTCTTGTCACTGACTACACTATCGCCGTCAGACCACTCATCTTCGGTTTCCCTGACCCGCTTGCAGAGGCCCAACGCGCTCAATTCTTTGTCAATGTCCATCGTTATTGAACTGCCACCTTCTGAATCTAAGTCCTGTGGCGTTGGTACTGTTGGCTTGACAATGTCATCAATTTCCACATAGCTACATTTAGATGGAGCGATGCTGTCCGAACCATACCCTGGCTCACCAATTCCAGGACCTTTATTGTCTAGCTCTTCCTCAGCCGCTCTTCCAGAAGTAGCTGCATTTTGAATTAATACTTTCTTACGTAGTGCGACACTAGGTGTTGGGCTCACACCCCTACCTGTTTTTGAATATTTCGACTTCGCCGAGCTCGTACCAGACGATCCACTTTTGCATGACATGTTTTTTTTTTTTTTGTAAATTTGAATAGGTCTGAACCTCTCAATTAAAAACAAAGAGTTTAAGTCCAAACACGACTCTGATCGGACTATTAGGTCCTGAGTTATAAGCGAGCAAAAATTACAATAAGGCGATCTTAAAGTTTATTTTGTGTGCTGCTTAGCTGTTGCTTACTATTAATCGTCCGGGTTCAGGCTCTATCCATCCAGATCAGTTGTGAGTTCAAATCGTTTTCGATGTCCAAAACTTTAATTTTTTATTTCTTATTTTCTTATTTTATTATTTTTTTTTTTATTGAAAATTTGATCGTATTCCGACTCCTTAGGTCTCGGCAAAGAGTTTAAGTCCAAACACGACTGATCGGACAATCAACTCCTGAGTTCTTAACGAGAAAAATTTCCAATATGGCGGTCCCGAAGTTTATTTTAAGTGTTGCTCCACTGTTCCTTGCTCCAAATGGTCCGAGTTTGGGCTCAATCTGTAGCAGGCAGTTGTTAGTTCACGTTTCCGGTGTTCAAAACTTTCAAACTTTTTATTGAGGATTTGATCAAATTCGGTCTCTTCAGTTCTAGCCAAAGAGTTTAAGCCCAAACACGACTCTGATCGGACAATCAGATCCTGAGTAATAAGCGAGCAAAAATTTCCAATATGGCGGCCTTAAATTTTGTTTTAAGTGTTGCTCCGCTGTTCCTTGCCCCAAATGGTCCGAGTTTGGGCTCAATCTGTAGCAGACAGTTGAGACTTTACGTTTTTAAGGTCTAGGCCCTTCAATCTTTTTCTTGCAAGGTAACCTGAAATTCGGGTTCGTAAAGCTGTCCTGATTAAAATAAGGCCAAACACGACCGATTTTGCACGTCTGTTACGTAAGATATTTGAATTAATGTATTTTCAAAATGGCGGCTGTTTATACTTAATTTTTCTAACTCAGAGACGGGAAGGGATAAATTAGTTGAGTTTGGGCTCTATTGATAGCTCGCGTGAAGGGTATTATGAATAAAAACTGTATTTTTGAAAATTATTAATATTTTCGATTTAATTTGGAAAAAATGTTCAAAATTCTGTAAATAAAAGAGTTTTAAAGATAATTCAATTCTGTAAACGGTTATTTGTAGATAAAAAGAATTTGGATAATTCTTCAATAATGCAATATGCTTTTGGGATACAATTTGCATTATTTAGACTGCTTTTGTTTATTTCAGTTGTTTTTTAAAGTAGTTTGTTTTAGTATTTTATTCTTTATTTTATATCATTCTTATAATACGATTGTGTAGGTATATTTAACTGTTAAACTTTTTTAATGATTTAACGATGGTTTTTATATGTTTCTCGAATGTTGTTATTGACGATTCTTTTTGAACTACTTCGCTTAATATAAATGGATCTATTCTGAGATTTTGGCAGTTAATTTCATGGTCTATTCTACTTAAACTAAATTTAGGACATACCTTTATTAAGTGGATAATAGTTTGGGGCGTTATGTCGTCACATGGACAATTTTCATTTTGAACTATTTTAAATCTATGCAGGTAGCTTTTATGGAAACCATGATTTGAAAATATTTGTGTATTATAAAAGTTGGGTTTAATTTTTTCCAAAGCTGTTTGAAGTTTTTCGTAAGTGGGAAACCAAGTTTTAAGGTAAGTGCAATTTGCAGGATCATTATAATAATTTTCAGCTGTTGTAGTGATGTTGTGCTGATGTATTTTCTTAATATAACTTATTGGGAACTTCGCATAGTCAGGCACTTTATTCAATTTTGTAGCTGCTTTCGCAGCTCTATCCGCATTTTCGTTTCCAAGGATGCCATTATGTGCTTTTGTCCAAAAGAATTTGATCACTTTATTTTGTGATTGAGCTTGCATAATGTTTCGATGGATTTGAACAACTATTGGATGAGTCGTATCTGGATTACTGATTTCTAAGAGTCCGGATTTGCTGTCAGAAAATATTGTGAAGTCAAGCATTTTGTTTTCTAATATCCAGTTAGTTGCTTGTAAAATGGCAAATAACTCGGCCTGAAAAACAGAGCAGGTGTTGTGCAATTTATATTTTTTTTTTTTTTTTTTTTTTTTTTATAATATTTAAGCCTTCAGTGTGATGAACTACTAGTGCTGCTCCAACTCCGTCTTCATTTTTACTGCCGGTTAGGTTAGGTTAGGTTAGGTTAGGTTAGGTTAGGTTAGGTTAGGTTAGGTTAGGTTAGGTTAGGTTAGGTTAGGTTAGGTTAGGTTAGGTTAGGTTAGGTTAGGTTAGGTTAGGTTAGGTTAGGTTAGGTTAGGTTAGGTTAGGTTAGGTTAGGTTAGGTTAGGTTAGGTTAGGTTCCCCCCCGAACGGGTTCCCGCCTTGTCGTGGCGGGGGGGCTTAGTAGCCGTGGCTTGGTCAACCGCGGTGAACGAAGAGGAACCCCTTGGCTGGCCCGAGGTGTAGGGCCGGCCCGAGGTGGCCACTCCGAGTGGGCTTGGGAAGCCCACTTCGGATGTGTGTTGGTGGGCTGCGGTGAGAGGGAAGTCCGCACCCTCTACCGCTGCAGCCGAGGTGGAGTCGCGGAGGAAGAGGAGTGCTGGTATGGCGATGCGCCACTCGCCCTATCCTCCGCGACTCAGACGGGGCCGCACCGTCAATTGATGCGGTGGTGGTGGGGCTGCGGGGGGAGAGGAGTGTCGGTATTGCGAGGCGCCGCTCTCCCTACCCTCCGCAGCCGAATCTTGGTTGGCGGCAGAGCCCGAGACCAGATCCGCCGCTGGGGTCAGGAAGGCTGGTGCTTCTGAGTGCTAGTTTTTCCTGGCCCCATGGCCTCCGCGTATCGGACTCGGGGGGGTCCGATACGCAGGTGGAGTTGGAGGCTGTGGAGGGGGGTAGCTGAACACCTCGCTACCCCGTGCAGGAGACGAGGCCCAGACAGATCGGGCCAGCACTAGTGTGGGGCTGCGGAAGAATTTGGATTCCCGCGGCCCCGCACGCACGTGCGAGGAGGAACCGTGGGGTTTTAGCCGGTAGGAGTCCGGCATAACCTTCCGGTTGCCCCCGCGGCCGGAGGTATCCATGAGGATTTCCCCACGTAAAAAAAAAAAAAAAAAAAAAAGGTTAGGTTAGGTTAGGTTAGGTTAGGTTAGGTTAGGTTAGGTTAGGTTAGGTTAGGTTAGGTTAGGTTAGGTTAGGTTAGGTTAGGTTCCCCCCCGAACGGGTTCCCGCCTTGTCGTGGCGGGGGGGCTTAGTAGCCGTGGCTTGGTCAACCACGGTGAACAAAGAGGAACCCCTTGGCTGGCCCGAGGTGTAGGGCCGGCCCGAGGTGGCCACTCCAAGTGGGCTTGGGAAGCCCACTTCGGATGTGTGTTGGTGGGCTGCGGTGAGAGGGGAGTCCGCACCCTCTACCGCTGCAGCCGAGGTCGAGTCGCGGAGGAAGAGGAGTGTTGGTATGGCGATGCGCCACTCGCCCTATCCTCCGCGACTCAAACGGGGCCGCACCGTTGATGCGGTGGTGGTGGGGCCGCGGGGGGAGAGGAGTGTCGGTATTGCGAGGCGCCGCTCTCCCTACCCTCCGCGGCCGAAACTTGGTTGGCGGCGGAGCCCGAGACCAGATCCGCCGCTGGGGTCAGGAAGGCTGGTGCTTCTGAGTGCTAGTTTTTCCTGGCCCCATGGCCTTCGCGCATCGGACACGGGGGCGTCCGTTGCGCATGTGAAATTGGAGGCCGAGGAGGAGGGCGCGCCATGTGTTCTGGTGCGCCTTACCTGAGAGGGAGATGGGGGAGGAGTGGTCCTCTCCCGAGGAGGGGCCGCCATGGGGCGGCCAGCGCAGGTGGGGCCGCGGAAGTGTGCGAAAGCGTTCCCGTGGCCCTGCCAATATGCGACGAGGTTGGAACATCATGGGGTTTTAGTCGGTGCGAGTCCGACATAACCCGTCCTTGCCCCCGCGAGGCGGGTATGCGTAGGCATTTCCCCATGTAAAAAAAAAAAAAAAAAAAAAGGTTAGGTTAGGTTAGGTTAGGTTAGGTTAGGTTAGGTTAGGTTAGGTTAGGTTAGGTTAGGTTAGGTTAGGTTAGGTTAGGTTAGGTTAGGTTAGGTTAGGTTAGGTTAGGTTAGGTTAGGTTAGGTTAGGTTAGGTTTTTTTTTTTTTTTTTTTTTTTTATTATAAATAATTATACACTACAGACTCGAGGTCCGTACCTTTTTTTCGCTTTATATTTCTTTATTAACTTTTTTATTTTACATCGTACTCCTTACACTACTAGTATAGTAAATTTACTTAAGCCTAAGCAGTGAGTTCACGTTTTTTTTTTTTTTTTTTTTTTTATTATTATTATTATTTTTTTATTTTTTTTTTTTTCCTTTTGTTTGTTTTTTTTTTTTTATATATATATAGATTTTTTTTTTTTTTTATATATCATGCGTCTTTTTTTTTTTTTTTTTTCTTTTACTTTTTTTTTTTTTTTTTTTTGTTTATGTTTTGAGTTCTTATTACTAACATGCTTTATTTAACTTACCATATACATTTTTTTTAATTATTATTATTCCGTCGTCGTGGAGACCGCTCCGTCTTCAGCTATATCAATTCGCCGTTGTCAGGGCCTCTACGACAGCTGCGTCTCTGCTTTTTAGTGCCATTTTTAGGTTGTATTCTTTAATTCTGTTTGTTGTCGCAGCCATCGCGCTTTCAATCAGCCGTCCAGTCGCATCGTCGCAATCGTCCGTGTAATATACACAGGATACTGTGTGCCTGGACACTGCCACTACTGCGTGTTGGACGCTGTCATAAATTTTGTGCTTCTCTGTTGTTGTCCTCATTATGACCACTGTCCCGTATGTGAGGCCTTGGGCCTCATGTACGGTTAAAATTCGCGACCCAGGACCCGAACCATATCCCTGGCTTGTAAGGGACTCCTTTTCTGCTTGCGTGTATACAAGATATAATGTATTTGGCAGGGTACCTGGAATGACTACTCCCGTGTACCTTTTCCTTTCCAGTGAATGCACCTGAGATCTGGATGAATATATGCCATTGTAA